GATTAATATCGAACAATGGGCCGAGCTAGGTTCTCGGGCCTATCTGAATCAATACTGGATCTGGTGTTAGGCCGAACTGAGTCAATATGAGGCGTTATGTTGGTTGAGCTAACCTAATGCAGGATGTTGCGTTGGGTCGAAAGGAATAGTGATAGGCTACGATATTTGACAGAGCAGGAGATTTATCGATTGACCGGTCAATGAGTATTGCGACCTTGCGGTGCTGACCGAAAACGCAGCCAGCTGGGTGACCGGCCTGACGTAGTTCGACACAAGGTAGATCTGAGCTAGCATGTTGGGGGGGCCACATGTGATTTCTCGGTTGAGATTCTCCACATGGTCCAATGGCATGAGAAGAGGAATCCGTTCTAAGTACGCGTCAATACCGTTTGGTGGTTAAGCCAATGTTGTTTGGCAGTATTGACGCATACACGTGTGTAGAAATAAAAGAGCAACTGTTGGCTTTTTTGGCTTTTGAAGGGTGATTATGTAATTTTAAGCGTGCCGGCAAGGATCAATAAGTCCTTACAAAATTTTAATTGCCAACCAATTATTAGACGATTATGTTGAAATTCTTTCAGCCTCCACGAAGAGGACTTTTACTGGTGACTTGTTTTAGGAGAAATTTTATAAATAATAACAAGTACACAAATGTTTCAGAAACTGAATTTCATTGAGTAAATAATGAAATTACAATGACCCAACCTCAAAGAGGGTCGCAGCAACAAACTACTTGAAAACTACTCCTAGGAAATGAAGTGCAGTGCAAGAATTGAAATGCTAGAAATATAAAAAACTAGAAATGCAAAAAACTGGAAAAAAATATGAAGTAAAATAGCTGGTTTCTAGATCTGAGGCTAGGTCCTTTTTCCTCTGGCCTTTTCTTCTACTTATACTTTCTGAAGGTAACCGTCGAAGTGGGTTTCTAACCGTCGAAATGCTCTCTTACGATCACTGATTATGGTCTTGCACAATGAACTCCCAATATGCCATCTTTGCAGTTAGGCTTCCTTTCTGAATTTGAATTTGAATTGTGAGTAACCGTTGGGCCACGTCGTCTTGCGCCTTCTAACTGTTCTAGTGCTGCGCAAATCTATTATTACCAATATGAACTGCCACGTGTCTGTTACTGATTAGAGACTTGCATTAACTCTCCAAATTACCTTTTTTGAGCCACATGTTATGCTGTGATTGGCTTATACAAAATATATAGCCAACGCCAACCCCTACACTAATATACCCAATACTTTGTGATATTGGTGGACTAGTGCATTTTACCCACATCCTAGGACATGCATGGACTTTGCGTCTTCTGGAAATGTAACCGTTTTCGAGCAATGAAGCAGTGAACTTCATTAAATTCTTATGCTTTGCACGTCCATTCTCTGTGTAGATGAAAGGGCTGATACATCTCCAATGGCCAATCAAAGCTTCTCTTACATTGATCAAGCATACGAGGAGACTTTGGAAAATGATTATAGACCTCGAAAGAACCTTAATGCATTTATTGGCCACACTTACCCGCCTCCATTTATACAAGTTATGGAAGCTTTTGCAAATTACCAACCTCTGGACCAAGAATCTGCCAACTACAAACCTCTGGACCAAGACTTTGCAAAAATGGATGTTGGAAGCTCCTTCTCTGCCCCGAAACATTCTGTATGGGATGAAGCTGCTTCCTCTTCCTCTGGAAACACTGGTTGGGATGCTTGGCCAACACCGGTTGAACCTCAAATAAGGGAGCGGATTCATCACCGAATTGTTGAATTCGATGATCCGCTTTTGGTGCCTCCTTCTTCCTGAAGCTCAGTAGTGTACCCTACGTACCCATTGATTGCGTCGTTGTCTGGAAGATAACCTCCTCCTTGCCAATAAGGATAGTATAAAAGACTCCCAATCCAATCAAAGCATTGGGATTCAGTCTCTAATTCTTAGCTAAGAAGGCAAAACTTTGATCTTCTGACTGGCTTACATACGTGAATGACCCCCAATTCCCTCCTTCTTTTGGGATGGACCCTTCTGCACCCCCTCTCCCTCAGAATTCTCACTGGATGGAGGAATTGGGACTTACTCTCTTCGAGGGTTAGCACTTTTCTTCCTATCAACTTCCAGTTCTTCTACTGCATTTTAGCAATATAAAGCTCAACTTCTTCTTGTTATCTTCTTTTATCTGCCTTTCAATGTTCTTGGACATGATATTCCTCACAGGAACTTTTTGTGGGCCTATGACATCGTGACTCAGGGTCATGTTCTTAACCCTATAGCCCAAACAGAGCTCTAGACCTTCTTGGACTAACTCCCTCACTTTCTCCATTGGCATAAAAACTCCTTGGCCACCAGTGACTCACTGGACGAAATTACTGCTAGTCGAATTCAAACCCAGTATGAAGCAAAGAACCTCCTTAAAGAATATGACGCCTTCAAGAACAAGGACTTATCATACTGGGATGATGTAGACATAGATGAAACAGAGCAGGGCTTGAAGGAGACAGAGTGTGAGGTGAAAGCAGAGTTGCTTTTCCACCAAATAAGGGCATATCAACTGCAACAACCTAGTTTAGATAGAATTGAAGATAAAATAAAGAAAGAATATAAGTTCATAAAACATTGCTGGGTTAAATTCAATGAACTTGTTACTTTTTCTATCCCTTAGTATTATGAAATTGAATTTGTAGCCAAATAGGCCTTCCCAATGTAAATACTTATATATCAATAAAACTAGGTTTTCCATTTTTCAATTTGCATGATCTGGTTTTATACTCCAATTGTATAATTGATTGTATGGTTAATGTGACCTTCACATAATCTACGAATAGCAGTTTCGAAGCAACCAATCTTGCTTTGAAGCCTGGTTTTAGATGTTTCAAAGCATGGAATTTCTCATAGGAGTGACAGTATTTACCTTGGGTTTTCACACTAAAATTATATGGTTAATATAATCTGTGTAAATAACATCTTCAAATTAACCAATCTTGCTTTGAAGCTAGGTTTAAGTGTTTTCAAAGCACTAGTTTCTCTTAAGAATGACAATATTTATCTTTGAAGGACTTTGTTTTAGCAGAAAGTTCAACAAAATACTCTCATATGTGGGTAAGTCCTTTGGTCATTGAACTTTCCACATGGCTTGGCCAAGTACTAGATTCATAGTGCTTATTTTGAAACCCAAAAATCAGGCTGGAACCATATTCTAATCATAGAATGCTACAAGGATTCCTTCGTGGGACATTTTCTGTTACGGAAAACCTAAGAAAATACCCTCAAAACCTTCAAAGTAAGCAAACTCTAATTACACTTGAGTTTACAGTATAAGACTGATTTCGAAACCAATTACCTGTTTTCGAAGCCAAACTAAGCATTTGGAAAACTGGTTTCAGAGCCAATTAACTATTTTCGGAGTCAGGCTAAGTGTTTTTTAAATATATTTCCCTCCCTTATGATGTACTCAGATCCTATTTTGAAAGTATTTCTCTTTCTTGTGTTTTTAGAAATTTTAAAATAAAAGTCTTAATCACACACATGGATCAAACTTGGCCTTATTTGACCCGTTATGTCAAATGGGTAATTTTTAGACAAAAATGTTTAAAAACCCCATCTTCTCTCTCTTTTCCCTATTCCCTTGTCCAATATTTCCCACTTCTCATTGTTGTCAACTTTGAACCCTTACCTTTCTCACACTCACTCTCATTGCCCTTCCTTCAACTCCTAGTGATTAGTTTGGGCGTATGTCTACCAGATTATTTTTCAACAATAAAGGCGAAGGAAAAAGTTTGGTAGAACTGGACACGGAAATGGATCGTGGAGCAGGTGGCGTAGCTTCTCGAGCAAGCACTGTAGCGTCGGAGGAACGGGAAAGGCAACGTTCACCCTGTCGACGAAGTAGATCCCCAAGGAGGAATGAGGTGGAATAATCGCGCAGAGGTGGGGCGTAGCAAAAAGGTAGCGCCAGGGCTGCAAGTGCACAAGCGTCTGTGCGACATGAGTTGAGTAGATCGCCACACCCTCTAAGCTTTGCTGTCTTCATTGGCACCAAGCCGTTTTCTGAGAATTTTTTTTTTAAAAAAAAAATTATAAATTAATTTGATAAAAATAAATATATATTTTTAAAAAAAATTAAAAATTATTTCTACGTTCAAAATATATAAAATTTATGAATGTTTTTAAATTTTAATAAAAGTATTTCAAGAAAACATATTCTAAAAATTAAACCAAACAATATTTTAACCACTATATAAAACTTGTTATTTATTTTTATTTTTCTTGGTTCGTTATTACCCTTTAAAATTTAAAGAGTACATTATAAATACACACTTTGAAATTTGTTTAAATTACGATTTACTTATTATAATTTTGGAAATTACATCACGTCTTTTGAGATTTCTAATTTCATAACAAATTACATTTTTTTATTGATAAATTATCAAATTAACTAACAGCTTTTAATTATGTCAAAAATTTATTTCAATTAATAATTCAGGTAATTTTATTATTATGTAAGAGAACAGCTAGTAATTTTATTTTTTCAATTAATTTTGTTAAATAAAAAATTACGAAAAGAGAGTATTTATAATTTTTCAAATTATAAAGGATAAATCATATTTTAAGCATACCTCAAAGGGTATATTTATAATTTATCTTTTTAAGTAAAGAGGTGTTTCTAAAACTTAAAAATGAAAGTTAGCCACACACATTATATCTGTATTAATTATGAATTATCTACAAACAATTTTTATTTTTTATTTATTTATTTATTGGGTAATGGCTAGTTTTGGTTAAATTACAACTATGATGGTTTTAATGACAACTAAAAATAGCATTCGCATATAGCTTTAAAAATTTGTTTATGACCCAAATGACTATAATTAATGGCACGTTTATTTTTATTCTTTTAGTTTCAATTGCTGAAAGGGAAAGTACATATGATATATATATATATACTTTTACAACTGTGTATAATAAATTTTTCTATACACATTTTCAAAAAAAAAAGTGCACACCGTATGTCCCTGTACTTCTAGCCATTGAATTTGAATAAATAAAAGAAACGAATTATTGATCACAGTCAATGAGTTACATATGGCACACCTCGTTTAAGAGCAATGAAGAACAAGATGAACAATATATCGTGCTCTTGAAATTAATAAAAACTGGCTCAAAAGACGGTTTCAAATATAGGTCCACTCAACCACCACATTACAGTGTAGACATCAAACAGCCATTGTATTTACAAGCTCTGGAAACCTAAACAGCCATGTAAATGAGCCAACTCGGAATTCAGATTTCCACGAAAATTTGTGTGCAACTTTATGGTAATCCACAGCAAGACAAGTAAAGCTTCCAAGTTACGGAATTCTGTTGTTAAATGTTGTTTCTCAGCTGCTGGAAGTAAAATTGATCTGAGCTTCGTTAGGATTGGACTTTAGTTGCTTGTACAGCTTTGTTCTCGAAAATGCTTCTAAGCTTTCTTGTAGATATGTCTGGGAAATTAGCTTCTTTTCACCATGTATCAGGACAGCAACCTTTGCTTTTCTTAAAATTTATTCTCTCTCTTCTTAACCTGCACATAAAGAGAACAAAATCAATTTAGATATACAGACTTTATTCTTGTTACATTGTCTGTTTCCTTTTTCCCTTTTTCTTTAGTTCTAATCTTTTTCCTTGTATGTTTGGAGTTGTTCAAAACTGCAAGTTTCTATAGCCTTGCAACTCCAGAACACCATAATGGTTGTCAAAAATCTACTTGGGTCAATTCAAAGCTCTCATAATCTGATCTGATCTGATCTTGAAGAGACTCCCAGGGATAGAACTTAGACACTAACAATCATTAAGATGTATGGACAGCTAACATGTTTATGAGCACAAGGGGCATCCAAATAATAAAAATTGACTAGCATACAGGTGTTCTATTGTTCCAGATGAATGCCCTGTTAAGGACAAGGGGAAAGCCAAAATGGACATAGAATGAATTCACAAAATATCCATTAAACTATAATAAATCAGGACACTTAAAATGGTTTATTTGAAATTATTTCACATGAGAAAGATATGGTAGGTTTGGGAAGTGATCAATCCAAACGGTTGTCTTGTCAGTGGAAAAAGCATAACCCTTCAATGGGTTGCACCTATTTTGAATGGATGTGATTATTTACAAAAGGATATGAACAACACCTATTCATACTTTACCAATGCAGGAGGTTTTGTGCATTTCAAAGCATTGATTCTACACCCAACAGCATATTTTCTCTCTCGCATTCTCTTGTGCAATACCTAGTCTAAGGACAATACCACCAAGGTTTTTCATTCTCTTTCATCAAGGTTTTAGACATTACAGTCTATGAAAAAATTCATTTCATCAAAGCAGACTTCAAATCTAGTTTGTGTGTTCTCCACAAGCCGACATGAGCCAATCAAATATAAAAATCACCAAGTACATAAACATATTTATGGAGGCAATTCAAGTGGCAATAGATAGTTAAGGCTATGTTCATAGTGATAGTGTTTCTTTTGGGCAATAGCAACTAACAGTTGATTAAGTTTGAATAACTAGAGGCGGAGGTTTGGCACAGACCGTTAGACTAAAGAAACTCAGAGCATCATCGAGCTCATTAACATTACTAAACCTAGATTTGGGTTTCACAAACAATGATCTAGGATTAGAAGTGTCTCTCTCTTCTAGTAGTATTAGTAGTACTAGTAATACATCAATGAGGATGAAACAAAACTAATTTGTTCAAGGAGAAGAGAATAGAAGAACCTTTTGGGATGTAAATTGTAATGACGATGAATTAAACTTTGGCTCTTGCCTTGTATGAAAAACAAACAACAAAGACCAAGCTCCTGCAACTGCAAATACTTCACAAATTTCTGGATTCAACAAGAAATTCTTCCTGGTCCAAGATGATTATACATCCTTTAAAACTCCATCAAGAATCTGACTAATCTCCTAAATTAGCACCCAGCTCCTTCAAACAAAATCCCTGCACCATTAACACATTAAGAGTGCAAATAAAAACAAGATCGATAAGTCAGAACCAGACCCTTAAGAGCTTTCACTTAAAGCTTTAGCTTTAGTTTTGTGGAGCATGCTGCATAATACTCTAGCTCGAATTTTAAAAATAAAAAACAAGAGAAACTAAATTTTGTTTTATAATGATACTAGGGGTAACCTATGCCTAAAGGCACTTTCAACAAATTTTTTTGGTACCACACGCTCTAGAGAACTCAATTAAAATAGACCAATTCAAAATGGCAACAATTTTCATTGCGCTATAGACCTCAATTGTAATAAATCAATTCAAAATGACAACAATTTCACTCCAATTTCAAACTTCACACGTAAGAAGTTGAAATAGCACATTAAAGTTTCGCAAACTTCAGAATTAAAATTTAAATAGAAAATTTTAGAAATAAAAATGTTATTGTGTTCAACATAAGCAAAGATATCCACATCAAAACGACACATGTAGTGATGTTTTTAAATTAGTATCATAACGGGGTAAGCCTTTCACTTTAGCAAATTTCAATCCCTTCGAGAAATGGTAACTGAATATTTTGGTAAAAAAGAATAATCATCCTAGCTTATTAAAAAGAAGAAGAAGAAGAAGACTAATCATCCAATTTGGAATGAAACAACCAACTACCATCAACACACAGAGAAAAGCAAAACAACCCCAATGTTTCTAATGCGGATCAATCACCTGCGACAAAATCACTCCAACGCTAGAATTCGTTTTAAAAAATCAGCTAAAAGAAATCATAACAGGAAAAATAACATCAAAATATTTATGCGAAACAAGAAAACCAATAACTATGAACTAACGTAATAAAATTCCAACATAACTCTTATTGATAAAAAGCATCTCAAATTACCTGCAATTATCAACGAAATAGGAATGTTGAAGGTGTAGATATTGACTGGAATGCCTAGAAAATGCAATTTACCAATAAGAGGAAAAGAGAGGTCGTAATGACCCATTTTCAAAATAGGGTGTAAAGCTTTGCTGAATTGAGAGGAGGGGGGGGGGCAGGTCGCATTTGGATCAGCAATTTGCATTTACAGTCCTGAATCATACTAATAGTTTAATTGTTAAAAATAATACTAATATTTTAATTGTTAAAAGATTAAAACAAATAAAAATACTTCAAAAACCATACCAGTTGATAAGAATTTTATTCAACCATCTTGGGACTAAAAAAAAGATTAAAACAAATAAAAATACTTCAAAAACCGTACCAGTTGATAAGAATTTTATTCAACAACCATCTTGGGACTAAAAAAAAGCTACGATGTAAACATTTTGAAGGTTGTTGAACCTCTTTTAAAAAAGGGGCAATTACACTCCAGTGTAATTTAAAAAAACATAATTACACAGGTGAAAAAATTTATTATTTTTTATATTAAAAAATATATATATATATATATATATATGATTTTAATTTTTAATATTTATAAAGTTTATCACTAATTTGTAATTATTTTTTGTCCACTATTATTTTTTATATTAAATATATATATATATATATATATATGATTTTAATTTTTAATATTTATAAAGTTTGTCACTAATTTGTAATTATTTTTTGTCCACAGAATAACAAGGTATGAACTTGATGAAATGAATCAAACCAATAAAGTGAACCAAACCAATACAATCCAAAACAACAAATAAAAAACAAAGAACTTCTTGAATCAACCTCGGAATAGGATAAAAAATTACAGGTTATAAGGCATGAAAGTAAAAGCAAGGGAATTCCAAAAGCAAAATAGTTTTTGAAGAACAATTATTAATGGAATCCAAATTACAAAATAAAATAAAAAAATAAATAAAAAAACTACAATTGAGGCTAGCTTTGGTACTAAATCATTGCAACATGAATAAAAGACACGGTGCTTTCATTGACACACAGAGCTAATCATCCTAATATAGATGATCTTAACAGACTCACAATTCATCATCATCATCATCATCATCATCAACGTAGATGTTTACATTCTGCGAATTGAAACATCTTCAAAATAAGCGAATCACACCTCGAAATAAAAAGACAAAAATAAGAATCTAAAATCCATTTTTTTTTTTTTTTTCAAATTTCAAACTAAAAAAATTATGAAAAATATAATTCATACAACCAGATTCACTAAACAAATATGAAAGGAAAGCCTTCATAGTAAATCAACCAACACACTTGCCACTCCAACAAGATGGAAAGGCAAGATAGCTTACAATGTTCTACCTAAAACAAATTAATCATTAAACAAACAATAGCAACCAATGAAAAAAACTCTTCGAAAGTCTTACCACTCTCTTCCTTTCGAAGTACTTTTTCATCTTAATCAATCACCAATCTTTTAAACAATCATTTTCAAAAAAATTAATAATAGTAACTTGAAGGGAAATTCTATAAAGTGTACTACTAAAGAAGGTACATTGTAAGAAAGTTACAATTTTTTTTTATTTTTTATTTTTCTAAAGTTATGCTATGTTAATTTGTGGTAAAAGTTACGCACAATGAATTTATGGCGTGCATCCTAAAGTGAAAGTTATACTTTTGTGGTGAGAAAAGTAGTGTCATTTTATGATTTATGTTACAAAATTTTGTAGTAGTGTTATGAAAGACATACCATATGCACTTTTTTACATAGCATCTCCCTAATTTGAAACTAATGACATACTATAGAAAGAATTATAATTTGAGAGTACTTTAGTATGCTTCTTACTGTTTTCATAAATTATGACCTATTCCATTGAGTGTTGTTGATCATTATGACCTTTTTCCATCATGATTGAACCCATTGAGTTAAATCCTAGCTATTGAATGGTAATGGTTCCTATAGTAAGCTTTAGTAAAGCATCAAATTGAAGCATTGTTTCCATAGCAGTTTACCAAAAATTAAGGAATCCCTATTTACAACAATGAAGGCATATTAACTCACTTCAATTGTTAGAAATAGTATACAAAAAATTACAAATAATTGGTTTTCTTTAAAGAACTACTAAAAATTATAAACTTTAAACCTTTATGGCACATATACATATAGACAAAAGAAAATTTAAATGCATAAACTTACAGGCAAAATCATACTAAAAACAGAGAGATCTCTACAACGTTCATAACAATGAAAAGAAAAAATCTTAATCACAAAGTATTTATCCGACTTCAAGCCCAAAAAAAATTGCCACTATAACAATCTAATAGAAAAAGCAAGAAGATAATTTGCAGACACAAAACTTGCAATCTGATAGCATCATGGCAAACCCCAAAAAACACACTGAAATAGGATTTATGTTAATCAAACATGGAGAAATACTTTGCAATTTGATAGTATACACAAAATTCTCAATTTAATAGAATTAACTCAAAACTCAATATATATATATAAGTAAAACTAAAATCGCTTATAACACCTAAAAAGCAATCAATGTCATCAATGGACACAATAGCTCCAGAAAAAACTTCAAGTACCATCAACACCATCTAGTTGTAGACCTCAAGTACCATGAACAATAACCTTGAAAAAAAGACGGAAGAGAGAGAGAGAGGAAAGGATAAAATCCCTTAACTGAACAATAACCAAATAACAAAGGATTAGTAACCAAAATAATAACCCTACATATGTCATTATCCACTATCTAACAAAAATCTACCAGAGATATTCTCATGGACCCAATAAACATAGCTAGGTGAATGGAAGCAAAAACAGGAGAGAATGAGCAAAAGAATCAATAAAATAGCACGAAAAATAGGTGTGCTTACTCTATGGATGTTGCTCCTCTATGACCTAAGCTAAAAGAATCAAACAATGATGGGTTTTTATACCTGCAAAGTACAAACAATGATATCAAAAACCCAAAAATCATTGACCTACAACAAACAAAAAAATTAAATATCATAAACTAATTTAGAAGAAATTCATAACTATGACCTTGAATTCAAACTTCGACTTCGATTTGCGACCTGTCTTGACCCAACTTCACCATTATATGAACCGAAAAACCAAGGGATTTACAAAATTGTAAGAAACCTATGGTTGTGTGTTTTGGCTTGTGGTGGCGGAGGAAGGTGGTGCAACAGCAAGAAAAATGATGGGTTTTGGGTGTGATAAGATTGGTGGTGGTTGAGTAGCAGTGGTAGATTGAAAATTTGGGTCTTCGAATCAGTGGATTCGAGTGGTTGTTGACATGTGGTTGGTTGTTGAAAGCAATTAGAGAGAGTCAAATAGGTAAGAGATTGAAAGCGATGAACCAAGTGGGTCTAATCCAAAACCTTTTGATTTTTGAACGATAAAAGAGAATGAAGGAGGAAGTGTGTCAGAGAAACAGAGAGTGAGACTAAGAGAAGGTGTGTTTGAAATTTGAAATTCACATGAGAAAGAGAGCTGAACAGAAAGGGATGGGCTGGAATAACAAACAAAAGGAGAAAATGTATCCTCCACCGCAGGATGTATGCCAAACAAACAATCTCAACCATTAAAAGACAATTTGTTTTTGGACATTTTTTGACCATTAAATTGTGTCAATCCTAACCATTCAAAGTGACATCTAGGACAAAATTGTAGTACATTTTCAAAAAGCTAGGTGCTTTATTATATAGATAATTGTGCTAGACTTAAGAGCCAAAAGATATGAACTACGTCAAATGAAACCAAGTCTACATGATCATTCTCTATCCATTTTTAACCAATGTTTTCAAAAGTCAAATCCTTCCACATGTTCAACCTAGTGTAAGAGAATAGCCATGCTTAATCCCAACAGTGAAATCACAGAAAAACCAAATGGTGCATGTTTTCTTAAAAGCATAAGAAATATTTCCATAGTCGATCAAGTCAACTACCCATACATGACCTTCAATTGGAGCAAACCATGGATGAACTTCTGATAGGCATTTTAGTCAATGCAAGAATATATAGTGTACTAATAAATAACAAAAGAATAATATAAAAAAATATAATTTTTGAATGGCTTAGAATAAAAGGAACAATTGTCAATTCAACAAGTATTTGTTCTTGCCAATGAATTAAGTCAGCACCGGTTATTGTGAATGGGGTTGCTTGGTACTGTGTTGATATGGACATTCAAAGGAGGGGAATCAAAAATTTTGTCAAAAAGAGAGAGAGAGAGAGAATTAGGAGGCATTATACACAAGATACACATAAATAGAAATTATGAAAACATGTTGCAAGGTCACGTAGCAACAAGTCCAAAATAGTTGATGGAGATGCATAAGCCCATGTAAATCCATAACAAAAAAAAAAAAAAAAGAGCTTCACTTAATAATATATAATTTAAGATGTGTGTTCATGTATAATATATCTATTAGGTATATAATATATATATGTATATATGTATTTATTTAATATTAATAAAAAAAACACCTTATATCTTATATTTTATATAATATATATACATATATTAATAAAAAAAAAGTAGACAAAATAAAATAAAATAAAAAATTAATAGAATCATCTTTATTTTAAAATATAATAATTAAATAAAATAATTAACTTGTATTAAAATAAAAATATTTATATAAAAAAAAATTTGCCGTGTCCCCAGCCGTGTCCGTGTCCCTGTCCCAATTTTTTTAAAATTGCCGTGTCCCGTGTCCGTGTCCGTGTCCGTGTCCGTATGCGTGTCCGTGTCCGTGTCCGTGTCCGTGCTTCATAGCTTAAAAGCATAAGAAATATTTCCATAGTTGATCAAGTCAACTACCCATACATGACCTTCAATCGGAGCAAACCATGGATGAACTTCTGATAGGCATTTTAGTCAACACAAGAGTATATAGTGTACTAATAAATAACAAAAGAATAATATAAAAAAATATAATTTTTGAATAGCTTAGAATAAAAGGAACAATTGTCAATTCAACAAGTATTTGTTCTTGCCAATGAATTAAGTCAGCACCGGTTATTGTGAATGGGGTTGCTTGGTACTGTGTTGATATGGACATTCAAAGGAGGGGAACAAAAATTTTGTCACAGAGAGAGAGAGAGAGAGAGAGAGAGAGAGAGAATTAGGGGGCATTATACACAAGATACACATAAATAGAAATTATGAAAACATGTTGCAAAGTCACGTAGCAACAAGTCCAAAATAGTTGATGGAGATGCATAAGCCCATGTAAATCCATAACAAAAAAAACAAAAAAAGAGCTTCACTTAATAATATATAATTTAAGATGTGTGTGGCATTACCTTCATAGCTTAAGAAATTTACTCAATATCATGCATTCCATTACTATCTTTTGGCATGAACTTCTTTATCACTTCTCGGAGAGCAGGATCTTGTCCTTTAGTTGAAAGTATATCTACGATCAAGGGAAAATTGAATGCATCTGCCGAAAAACCCCTTTGAGCCATTTCCTCAACGAGTATTAATGCCTCATAGCACTTGTGTTGTCCAATAAATCCTCGGATAATAGTGTTGTAAGTGACACCATTTGGCAAACAACCACTCTGTTCCATTTTAACAAACAACTCTTTAGCTTCATGCAGTAGGCCTTCTTCACAAAGACCTCGGATCATCATAGTGTATGTCTTAACATTTGGTTGCAATCTCTTGGAAGAAAGGTTACTGAAAATGGCCCTTGCAGTGTCAAGTTTTTTAACCTTGCAGAATGCATCAATGAGGATATTATACTTAACAATATCAAGATGTAAACCGTTGCTTTCCATCATGTGGAATAATGACAATGCTTCAGAAATATGCCCATTTTTGCACAACCCATCCAATAAGATACCATAAGTTTGAGAATCTGGATTTAAGCCTGCAGCTTGCATATCATCGAAAAGTTTATGAGCAGCTCCACATCTACCTGTTTGAAACAAACCCCATAGCATAGCATTGAAAGTTCCATTGTTGGGTTTCAACCCCCTTCGAGGCAATGCTTGAAAGAGAAGCATGGCCTCATCTATTTTCATTTTCTTGCAATATCCATTGATTAGAATGGTATAGCTAAAAACATCAGGGTGAAGGCCCCTCTCCACCATGGTATTCAACACTCTAATTGCTTCATCCATGTGGCCTTGCAAACAATATCCATCCATTAGAGTATTGTATGTGACTACATTAGGATCCACACCTCTTTGTATCATGACTTCAAGTACCCCCTCGGCCTCTTTCATCTTCCCTTCCTTGGTACATGCATCTAGCAACACGCTATACGTATGAACATCCGGAGCAATACCACTATCCAACATTTCTATAAACATTCCGGTAGCCTCCTTCCACCGGCCAAAATTACATAGGCCATGAATCAAAGAGGTATAAGTGACAACATCTTGACAAATGCCATGTTCATTCATCTTAGAAAAGAGTTTCATAGCATCATCCACCATTCTATCCTTGCAAAGACTGTCAATGACCGTGTTATACACTACCGTGTTAGGTTTACAACTTCCCTCTTCCATTATCCTAAGCAAACTAACAGCCCTGACAGTGTTCCCCGTTCTGCAGAGCCCATTAACAATGGTTCCATACATAACCACGTTGGGTTCAATTTCTCTCATTCTCATTAATTTCTTAAATAACTCTACAGCTTCAGGGGTTTTATCGTCCAAAATAAGTCCATTTAACAAAGTGTTGAAGGTAGTTACATCAGCTGTACAACCGCGTTTGAAAAGGGTACACAAAAGAGAGAACCCAAAATTGACTTGATTAAGGCGGCAGCAACAGTTAATAGCAATGTTGAAGGTGAAGATATCGACCTGAATCCCTCGAAAATGCAATTTCCCAATAAGAGGAAGAGCGATGTCGTAATGACCCAATTTCAAAAGAGGACCTAAAGCTTTGTTGAAATGAGAAATGGGGGGCAAAGGTCGCATTTGGATCATGCGATTGAACGAATTTACAACGTCTTGGACATCATTGCATCGCAGTGTGGGTAAAGTTTTAGGTTGATTCGTTATTAAAGCAGCAGCAGGAGGAGAACTAGGGCTTTGGGTAGTAGAGAGAGAACGAAACAGAACAAATAGGAATGAAGAGGGATGATTAATTAGAGAGGGAAATATTGTACCTTTTTGACAATTATGATCAGCAATTCTTCTTCTTCTTCGTCCAACAATGGAAGAAACAGAAACTCTTCTTCTTGACATCTTCGTCAAGCGGTGTGTGTGAGTGGAGAGAAAGAGAGAAATACAAGTACAGACTGGATTTGGGATTCACTGAAGAAGACTTCTCTGGAAATAGATTGGGTCTCCATTGATGATCAACTTTAAAATAGCTTTACGATGAGTAGTAACTCATCTTAAGCCTCTCCAATCCTTTCATCAATTTTTTAAGAAAATTTTCAAATTACTTCTCAAAATTAATAGCCAAACACATAATTTAAAATTACTCAAAATTTAATTCAAAAGTTAATTTCAAAATTTATAATCAATTACATAATTTAAAACTGTTCTGATGATATAATGTTAAAAATGGTTAGGGATAGGATTGTTTAAATTTCAAAATTTATAATCAATTACATAATTTAAAACTGTTCTGATGATATAATGTTAAAAATGGTTAGGGATAGGATTGTTTAATTATTTTTATAAAAAAATATTAAAAAAATAATTTCTATATTAAAAAAGGACAAATTACATTAAATGTCATTATAGTTTAGAACTTGTATTATTTTAGTTTTTGATTTTTCAATTGTATTACATTTGATTATAAATTTTAAATCTTGTTCCAAATAAGAACAATTAAATATATTTTTGCTCACTTTCAAAAATGAAGTCGTCAATTTGATAAAATATAAACTAATTTGACAAAAATAAATGTCAAAAAAATATTTTTACATTTTTAAAAATTATTTCTACCTACCAAAGATAAAAATATGTAAAATTAATAAATTTTTTACACATTTATTATTTTTTTATTTTACCAAATTAATTTTTATTATGTGTTTGAATGATGATCATATAATGAATAGTTGTTTTTGTTTTCATTAAATTAGTTTCTATTTTTCTAAAAATCAAATATGACAACAATTTTGATATCATTATTAAGCCAATCTATTAAATCAAAAAATCTAAAACTAAAAATGACGTAGGTGGGCCTACAAGGACTATTGACCCACCACTTAGGGTTCAATACATAATTCAAACACTAAAGCCCAACGTTGCTGGGGCCCAACGTTACACCTAGGACCGATGGCATCAGAACACCTATCAGGAGAAGAATCAGCCAAATAAGCAGTAAAAGATCGTGCAAAGTTATTACACCTCACGTCAGCCATTAATGAGCTTCACTTCAGCATTTAATGCAACAACCCCTTCACGTCGGGGCAGAACAACTTCAGCATGAACAAGGCGAGCTAAAACATAGACTTTCGGCCAACGTGACAGGTCGAAAGAGGCGAGGAAATGATGAGTAAATGATATAAGCAAGTTTTTAAGACAAAGAGAAAGTTAAGTTTTCTATCATCATTCTATCTCTATACACCATCATCTTCTCCCTTCTCTAACTTGATCGTCGGAGGGTTCGCTGGGGGACTCCTCGTTCCCCGTTGAACTCTTGTGCAGGTCTCTCCGTGGATATAACTCTCAGACAGCGGTTTGAGAAGCGTGGATCAGCTTGACCCGTTCCATCTGGACCATCCTGTATCATCAAAAAACATTTTATATATTAAATATACCGATTACACATTAAGGCCATGTTTGATTCATAAGACTAATAGTTAATGTATTAATAATCATATCAAATTAGTGTGGTATTTGCTATCTAATTGGATTAATAGGATAAATTATCCCCTTATCCATTTTTTTATTTTCATTGCATAAGAAAACATATGAGCGTAGGATTATTAATAATCCTACAAATTTGTTGGATTAATTATCCATTAGATTAATAATCCTGAAATAAAATTTCAAAACAAACATAGGATTATTTGGTTCACAGATTAATAATCTCAATCTCATACTCTAATCCTATCAATCAAACATGCCCTAAAAGCCTAGTAATCACCCATTATACGATCATCATTCAAATACATAATAAAAATTAATTTGATAAAATAAATAAATGCGTAAGAGATTTATCAATTTTACATAATTTTATCTTTGGTGTGTAGAAATAATTTTTAAAAATTTAAAAATATTTTTTGACATTTATTTTTGTCAAATTAATTTATATTTTATCAAATTGACAACTCTACCCTTGAAATTGAGCAATGGCATCTTCAGTTGTCCTTATTTGAAATAAGATACAAAATTTAGGGTCAAATGTGTCATAATTAAAAAATCATGGATCAAAGTGACACGAGCTCCAAACGATAGGGAGTGTTAATGTAATTCTCCCTTAAAAAAATATCTAAAACAAATGTATATATACCTATTTCAAATCACAGGTTGCAATTGCAAAAAATAAAAAATAAATAAAATAAAATAAATAAAAAAATTTACGTTGTTTCGGTCAACTAGCCGAATGTCTGAGAGGACGTTCGAGAGGATGTCCGGATAAACGATCGGCTAGACCCAATCCGCTCTTTTCAAAATTTAAAATTCAAAAATTCCTTTCAAAACTTATAACCAAACAAATTTTCTTTTTTCAAAATTCAACTCACAATTCTACACTCAAATCACAATTCTAAAAAGAGAATCACAATTCCAAAACTAAACCAAACGCAACTTTAATTTAATATGATGTACGTTAATAGTAAATTTAAAATTTTCATCAAATCTTGTTATAAGGTCGGTTGTCTGGTAAGACGTTCAAGTAGACTTCCGGCTATAAGTAAAATTTGACGTTCAAATAAAAAAACCCAATTGTCCGGACGATGCCTAGGAGGACATCTAGCCTAACAGCCACCCACAAAATTTGATGAAAGGTCTAAGGTTCCCTTAATTTGATGAAAAAATTAACTCTCCTTTCATTTGATATCGATTTGACGAAATGGTTAGTGTAGCGATCCCGGTTTTGACCTGTCTCTTTGTGGTGTTCCGGGCTCGGGTTGGTATGGTTTTGAACGGTGTTATGTATCTTAGTTTTTCTATATTCCCCTTATTTTGGTTATCGGGTTATAGTAGTGTGTTTGGAACATGTAATGTCTCCAAACCTTTAGATGCGAATCCAACCCGAATTGTGCCTTGCAGAGTTGTATCATAAGTTAATTCTTTCATGTTTTGCCACTTTGCTGAGTATGTCGGAGATCGAGCTGCCCGGTCAGCTCGCAGAGGTCCAGGGGACAGCGCCCCCGAAGTAAAAATGCAAAATGCATTCGAAGTTACTTGTCCACTCGAGCGGCCATTTATGCGCTCGAGCCGACATGTCTACAAAAGTATTAGGAAAGTATATTCGACGCTCGAGCGGACCATGTTATATTAGTTCGTGAATCTGATATTTCAGATTACTTTTTCAGTTCTCTTTCTCTCTCTCTAAACCTCGCTTCCAAAAACTCAGATCTTGAGTCTCTCTCTTTAAAAACTCACTTTCTCTATAAGATTTCATCTAAATTCATTGTGTTCTTCACCCTAGTGTCTTTGAGAAAAATGTTGAGTGCTTCAAGAGCTTCATTTTGATCCAAGAAGAACTTGATTTCGTCATCTTTGAAGTTCCATTTTGTTGCTTGGGTTTTCTACACTTGAGGTAGGGATTTTCTTAGAGTTATATATATATTTTTGCAATATCTAGATAATTTTTTAAATCATCCTTCGATAGCTTTGAAAATTGATTGTTGATTCAAGAAGTTGATCGATTTTCAAAGTGGGTTTGTCTCTTGTTCTTTTAAAATGATCTTATGGGTTTTGATCTTCGTTGATTGAAGAAAAGATGATTTTAAAAAGTTTTCTTTCAAAAGATTTGAGTTGTATAGTTTTGGTGAGAAAATTTAGAAATTAGAAATTTTTATGGATGATATTGTTATATTTATTTTGTGTGTTAAAATAAATGGATGTTTGAAAATTTTCTTATTTATATTTATATAAATGATGAATTTCATGGAATATGGGAATTGTTGTTCATTTTGGAAATAATTGTTCAAAACGTTAAAATGGTCTTGAAATGACTAATTATTGAGGATACTTGAGAAGAGGGAATTGTGTTATTCCTTGGATGATGAATTGGAATAAAAGTATTTATATTCATCTTGTGAAATTGGTATATCAATTCATTTGATTACATTAAACTTTGAAAGTTGATTTGAAAACTTGCATTGAGAAAAGAATGTTGAGAAACAAGTTTTCATGAAATGGTTTTGGGGTAAATACGTTGGTAAGTCTTGATAGGTGGTGTAGATGATATTGAATAAGTTGGCTTAAGAGTCCGGGGTGAAAGACCGAAAATCTGCACGGATAGGTGTTGAGCCTTCCGGTTAATACCGATAAAAATGACTATTTGGTAGTACTTGTATAATCTACTTATAGACACTGAGTTAGGGATTACCAGAGTCGTATTTACCGCCCTTGAAATAAATTGTTAAGTTTTGAACAATTGGAATTGCATGACATCATTGAACATGATAGTTTTCAAAAGATGAAAATATGATTTACTTTCAAAAAAGGAGTATAGCATGACATGTGCATTTCAACTCTTGAGACTTGTATAAAATGTATATACTTTGTTAAGGATTTGCTACTGGGTTTTATGCTCACCCTACGGGATTTTTGTGCAGGAAAAGATGTGGTGATTCCGCCTAACTAAAGGCGAGGAAATATGTGTTGAGAGTATATGACTCTCATTTTGCCGTAACTCTATTGCAAGCCAAGGGCTGTATTTATGTGGGTTTAAATAACCATTTTTGTGTAACCAGGGCTAAGCCTTGGAAACTTGTAAACCCTTGGGGGTATCTATTTGTTTATTTATTTTGTTTTGGATTAAACGTATAATCGCATTGAGAGACTAATTGTATCATGTAATGCAAGTGTGGAGAATTATTTTTGTTTTCCTTTAAGGAGCCATGATGATTGTGTTATCATTTGAGCATAGGAAATTGGGGTGTTACAGTTGGAGTACCGTTTTAACTAATTTTTCATCAAATTTATATTTGATAAAACATTTGATAAAGGATTTGAGATAACCTTATATCTTAAAACTGTGTGTGTTTAATTATAGTGGTTTTGGTAATTGTGCTTATTTTTTTAAGGATAAATTACATTCATTGTCTGAAGATTTCTGATAATTATATTGATTTTCTTTTAAAAAAATTATTCCGATCTTCTTGTGACTAACGCCGCTAATAGAAGGGTTAGTTTAGTGTTTTTAATATTAAAAATATTTTTGTTGTAAACCATTATGTGATTATTATTTTAATTATAACTTATGTGATGCTTAATTATGAATTTTTTTTTTTAAT